GGAAAAAAATATTTCATTAAATTTAACAGGATTTGTAAAATATTTTTGGGAGATACCAAAAATATTATCTCTGAACACTTACAAAAATAAATTTTTTTTCAGAAATATATAATCATTTTTATCATTTTCTTTAAATGAAACTATAGTTTTTAAAATAGGTTCCCGATCTTTAATGATAGAAGAACTGTGAGACCTCCCTCCCCGAGTTGGCGCGATTATCCACAGCTCCAACTCATCTAAAGAAATTGTATTTTGTTTTTTGACGATATTCTACTAATATATATCTATCTATACTATATTAAAGGCACGAAGACTCTTAACGAAATGCCATTCGCGTTTTTTATCGTTTAAAAATAGAGTTCACACGGGCTAAAATTATCATTTGATTATATTTTTAATATTAGAAATAGTCATTTAATTAATTCCCCAATATTTATGAGTTTGTATAACAAATTTCTTTCTTAATTGAAGTGTATTTAAAATTCTGACAGTTAGAACTTTTTTTTTGGTAAATAGTGACTTTCGATGTAACGACTAGAACTGTCGTTTTGCACGTTTGCATTTCGCTCGGTAGTTTACGGGCATGAGTAGCTCCGTATAATGTATTATGACTTATGTAAATCATCAGTTTTGATTTTACGGTTATTCAAAATCGATTTGGAAGAATGAATTTCATGGTTTAAGCTTCATAGAGTGTGTTTTTGAGATTTGAATGTCGATTCAAAGTCGGATTTGAGTGAAACTAGTATGGTTGGACTCGTAATTGAATGGGTTGTAGGATTTTGTGAGTTTTGTCGGGTTCCAAGGTGCAGGCCCGGGTGAAACCTTTAGGTCGATTTTGGGCTTTTTAGTAAATATTCGATCCTTATCGATTGGGTTTGTTCCCTTTGGCGTTAATTGATGTATTTGATTTTTTTTGGCTAGTTTCGAGCTGTTCAGAGATCGGTACGCGCGAGATGGCATTTTTGGAACATCTCTTGGCTTGCTCGGTATTGGAATTGGCTTGTTCGAGGTAAGTAGCACTTCTCAACTTGGTGCTGAGGGCATGAAACCCTGAATTACGTGTTATGTGTTTGGTGTTGAGGTGACGCACATACTAGGTAACGGGCGTGTGGGCGTGCACCATTTGAATTGTGACTCTGTTATTTAAGTTGTACTGTGTAGTTACCTGATCTTATTTATAACCATGAAATCTCTACGTTCTAGAGCTATTGAGTTGTGATCCATGTTAGAAACTATGTCTAGACTACATGTTTATTCTATTGGGACCCACAGATGCCATTTCTGCTGTTGAGTTATTTGCTTACATTGCAATTTCATACAGTCATGTTCATTCATTTCATATCGTATGTCAGTCTTTGTTGCTATATATTGACATATCATATCATCATTTTTGGGCTAGTTTCGTGGCATTGTAAGCCTGAAGGATTGGAGAGATTGATGACTGAGTGAGGTCGAGGGCCTAATTGTGAGTGATATTATGGGATCAGGCTATACGCCGTAGCATGTTATATTGATTTATGACAAGATCTAGCTTATTATGGCGCTTGGGCTGAAGGAGCCCTTCCGGAGTCTGTACACACCCCAGTGAGAGCAATTGAATATATTGAGGGATGGATCTTCCTTGGACATAGATCTTGCCCGAAGCATTTATATTTGGGGATGGATCTTCTCCGGGATGGATTGGCCTTATACAGTACTAAGCGACTGATTGTGAGTTGATATATATATATATATATATATATATGGGATGGATCTTCCCTGGGCTGAATTGGCCATATACAATACTGAGTGACTGAGTGTGTCGAGTGATTTAGCATGATGAGTGGAAAGTGTTAGTCAGTGAGATCGAGCACTCTGAGAGTGTGTGTACATGAGATCATCACTGAGATACGTTGCATTTGACATGCATACTTGAGATACATGCATTGAGATGCATTTCCTTCTGCCACTCCGGTTTTGGTGTCATCCATGATTTCACCTGCATATTGACATGTAGGCATAAAGATGTATTTTTCCTCATGCCAATTGATAATGAAACATCTTATCTGTTGTTGAAAAGTTTTTGGAAAAAATCACAATTTTCAAACTTACTCATAAATTTAGGAATTTCGGTAAATGATTTGGGTTTTCATCGATATATTTGAAAAGCATGCCTATTTTTCTAAAACCGAGTACGAGCTGAGCATTTTATTTATGAGCTACTTTTTTTATTATTTCCATTATGTTGTTATGAACTGTTCTTGTCTATTGGTGTTGGACCCCGACCTGTATTCCAGCTCGTCACTACTTTCAACCTAAGGTTAGATTTATTACTTATTGAGTACATGGGGTCGGTTTTACTCATATTACACTTCTGCACCTTGCGTGCAGATGTTGGATGCTGATGTTGTTGTGATCGATGGGAGCTATATTTGAAGATAACCTGCGTTCCAGTTGTAGCTGCCTCTTGTTCATGGTAGCTTTAGATTTATAAAATTCTTTTTATGTACATTTCGAACAGATGATGTATTTATATCATATCAGCTTTGTAAATTCTAATTTTACAAGCTCATGATTTGTACTGTCACTCTTTAGGAATTCTTGTATAAAAGCAGTTTTATTATCATTTCTTCTCTTTATAAATCTCATTTAGATTGTATAGTTGTTAATTGGCTTACCTGACAGGTTGGGTTAGGTTCCATCATGGCTAGGTGGATTTTGGATCGTGACATTCTATTCATTCCAAAATAATAGCTTTACAAATTAAGTAGATGATGACCATCTATATCCCTATCTTCTAGTTACAGCAAGTCAGATGTTCTATCTCTATATCTAGTATATGGTCCATTTACATCATCTTAAAACCATTTCAGAAAGGAGAAAAGTAGTTACATGCGATAGGAGCCTAAGAAATTTAAGGAAAATAATTCAGTTGTTGCAGTGCTCCTTGCACGTTATGTATTGTTCTTCCTCTGGTATGTATATGCATCACAATTGTTCTACAAATGCTATCATTCTTGAGCATACCCCTTTGGAATCTAATCACATCTCTTTCCCTCCATATTGTGTAAACCAGCATACCAAACACACACGTTATAATTGACCAGTGACCAGATTTCTTCTTCGCACCTTTGTTTATCCATTGTACTTCTCCTTGCCAATCCTGAATAGGTCTATGGTGGCATAGCCAATTGAGCAGCCTAGTCCATATTCCTTTTACTATTGGACATTCAAAGCATATGTGTTCAAATAGTTCATGAGAGTGCTGACAGAATACATACTGTTGGGGGACTTGGATTCCAAATTTGAGTAGTCTGTCCACTGTGGCTAATCTCTTCTGCAGTGCCAACGAAAGTATGAACTTGTACCTATGGTGTAGGTTTGGTTGCATGGTTATACTCTTCCAAGATATCTTTTGAAGCTGAGGGAATTGCATGTGATGCAGCTTGCTTACACTAAAGACTTCACTATATTGTAGTTAGATAAGTTTACTAGTCAAATCCCCTTGAATACCTTGTATCTCAGTAATAAATTTTCTTGCCTCCAGTATTTTCCTAGTTACCCAGGCTGCATTCTTGGGTATTGGAGCATTCTCCACTGTCTTGTTCCTTAAATAAAAGGTATGAATCCACTGAATCCATAAATAGTCCTTATCCATAGCTACTTCCCACATGTGTTTTGCAACTGCTGCTTTGTTCCAATAGTATAGATTCATTACATTAAGGCCCCTGCAGCTTGTGGCCAGCATACTCTATCCCAAGCAACTAGGCTTTCTTGGTGATGTTAGATGTGCCAGACCATAAGAAGGATCTACAAATGGCTTCTATCATTTTCAATACCTTTTTAGGTAATAGAAAGTTTTGTGCCCAATATGACTATACCCCAAACAAGATTTATTTGATCACTTACAACCTTCCCGCCATATCACATCAATTTGGATGTCCAGCAATTGATTCTTTGTGTAATCTTCTCTATTACTGGCTAACATTGGATGATAGACAACTTCTTGGATGCTAATGGTACAACTATGTATCTAAATGGTAGAGTACCTTCAGTGTATCCCAGTTCTTGTATAATGTCTTGCTTTTGACTGCTTGAGATGCCTGCTAAATATATAGAGCTTTTTATTGCATTTTCCTGGAGGCCATATGCGCTTGAAAACTTGAGAAATGTCTTCTGCAACAATCTGATATATGTAATATCAACTTTACAAAACATCAATAGGTCATCTTCAAAGCATATGTGGATCACTCCTATTTGTTTACATCTGGGATGGAATTTGAAGTTTTTGTTCTTTGCTAGTTATGCAAGTTCCCTTTGCAAATACTCCATGGCAATGACAAACAAATAAGGGGACATAGGCCCCCCATGTCTTATACCTATTCTCCCTTTAAATGGTTTTGGAACCTGATCCACTATTGAAACTGGTTTATAGAGTATAACAAAATAGGTGGGAACCTTGTTTAATGATGTGACAATTTAACAATTAAGTACAACAATCAATTGAAGAGGGGGTACATACCCGGGTGTCAAAGAACCAGGTTCTTTGACTTATTTCCTCAATGTTGGTTGTGAAAGCTTTTCTAGTCCAGACCTTTGTCATCAGATTACTCATCCATGTCATAAAATCCATATCATGTGTGCATACATGTTACAGTATAAGACTGAGTTAGACGTTATTCAACACATTTATTCATTGAATAAATTATTCAAATATAGCCAATCATTGAAGGAAGTCAAGAGTGTCTTAGTCCATCTTAATTAAATCAAGCTCCAAGCGTTTCTTCCAAAGTTATACCTCCGTAAAGCTTTGGTTAGAATGTCAGCAATTTGATCTTCTATCTTGCAAAACTCCACACTTATATGACCTTTTTAGCATTGTCTCTCAGGAAGTGGTGCCACACATAAATATGTTTGGTTCTCTTGTGGTGGACCGGGTTCTTGGATATATTCATTGCACTTGTATTATCACAAAATATGGGGTCCTTTTCAATCATCAATCCATAATCCTCTAGTTATTACTTGATCCATAACAGTTGAGCACAACACGATGCAACAACTACATACTCATCTTTAGCAATTGATAATGGCACAAAATTTTGTTTCTTAGAAGCCCATGAGATTAGACACGATCCAATAAAATGAGTCATGCCTGATGTGCATTTCCTGTCTACCAAATATCCAGCATAGTCAGCATCTGCATATCCAATCAATTTGCAAGAGTCTCCTATTGGATACTAAAAAACCAGGTCTTGAGTACCCTTGAGGTATCTCAAGATTATTTTAACGGCCTTCAAATGCTATTATTTTGGACTAGAGTAGAATCTTGCGTACAACCGCACACTGTACACAATGTCAGGTTTACTTGAAGTCAAGTAGATCAAGGAATCAATCATGCCTCTGTACTTCTTTTCATCAACAAGTGTACCAGATTCATCCATGTCAAGCCTGGTTGCAGTAGCAATAGGAGTATCAATTGTTTTAGCATTGTCCATATCAAACCTTTTGAGTAGCTCCTTCATGTTCTTTTGTTGGTGTATCATAGTTCCTTTTTCTGTCTGTTTTCTAAGGAAGAAATGATTCTCCCATCATGCTCATTTAAAATTTATTTTCCATGAGTTCAGCAAATCCATTGTAAAGAGATTCACTCGTGGCTCCAAAGATGATGTCATCAACATATATTTGCTCTATCAACAGGTTCTTGCCACTCTTTAGCAAAAATAGTGTATTATCAATTTTTCCTCGTGCGAACTCGTTCTCTAGGAGAAATTTTACAGTCTTTCATACCATGCCCTTGGACCTTATTTTAATCCATACAGTCCCTTGTCCAACTTATAAATATAATATGGAAAATCATGACTTTCAAATCCTGGAGGTTGTCGGACAAACACCTCGTCCTTCAAATACCTATTCAAGAAGATACTCTTCACATCCATTAGATATAATGCACTCTTCACATCCATTTGGTATAATTTGCAACCTTTGTATAATGCAAATGCAATGATCATGCGAATTGCCTCCATCAGGTTCTTGCCACTCTTTAACAAAAATAGTGTATTATCAATTTTTCCTCTTACAAACCCGTTCGTTAGGAGAAATTTTATAGTCTTTCATACCATGCCCTTGGAGCCTATTTTAATTCATACAGTGCCTTGTCCAACTTGTACACATAATCTGGAAAATCATGACTTTCAAATTCTGGAGGTTGTCGGACAAACACCTCCTCCTTCAAATACCTATTCAGGAAGGCACTCTTCATATCCATTAGATATAATGCACTCTTTACATCCATTTGGTATAATTTGCAACCTTTGTATGATACAAACACAATGATCATATGAATTGCCTCCATCAGGTTCATGCCACTCTTTAACAAAAATAGTGTATTATCAATTTTTCCTCTTGCAAACCCGTTCGCTAGGAGAAAATTTACAGTCTTTCATGCCATGCCCTTCGAGCCTATTTTAACCTATACAGTGCCTTGTCCAACTTATACACATAATCTGGAAAATCATGACTTTCAAATCATGGAGGTTGTCAGAAAAACACTTCCTCCTTCAAATACCCATTCAGGAAGGCGCTCTTCACATCTATTAGATATAATGCACTCTTCACATCCATTTGATATAATTTGAAGCCTTTGTATGAAGAAAAAGCAATGATCATGCGAATTGCCTCTATCCTGGACACAGGAGCAAATATTTCATGGTAGTCAATTCCTTCTTCTTGATTGTAACCATGTACAACCAATCTAGCTTTGCTTCTAGTAATGTTTCATTGATCATCCAGCTTGTTCCTGAATGATCTAGGAACTAGGTGCCAAACTTTATTTCTTTTAAACTGATTTAGTTATTCTTGCATGGCCACTATCCAAACTGCATCTCCAAGAGCTTCTTTGATGTTCTTGGGCACCACAATGGATATGTAAGCTGAGAAGGCAATCACGTTCCTAAATTTTGATCTTGTCACCATTCCAGAGTCAACTGGAGTACGAACATTTGTTAGATGGTGGGAACTTTCATGTTTCCATCCCCTGGTATGAGATATTTGAACCTCAGTGTTTTCTTCTTGTTCAACAGAGGGAGCATGTGCTGTATTTTGATCTTGATTTTCTTGGATTGTTCCCCTAGTCTGTGATACCTCCTGACCTTTTCTGAAGGACCTGGTTCTTCTTCCTGTTATGTAGCAGCTTGTGGACTTTCATGGTTTGTTTTCCCCTCATGATTTTCAGCTGGACCAAACTCAGCATCATCAAAAACTTGTGTACCTTTCTCAGCCAAAAAGTTAGACTCATCAAAGATTACATGAATATTTTCTTTAACATATTTTGTTCTTTTATTGTACACCTTGTAAGCTTTACTTTGTGGTGAGTAACCCAAAAAGACACCCTCATCACTTTTAGCATCAAACTTTCCTATAGCCCCTTTCCTATTGTTGTGTATAAAATACTTACTTCCAAAGGCTCTTAGGTGGGTTACATTTGGTTTTCTTCCTTTAAGTAATTCATAAGGGATATTTTCTATTATTGGCTAAATCATGCATCTATTTATAATGTAGTATGCAGTGTCTATAGCTTCAGCCCAAAAAGTCTTAGGAAGATCACTACTAATTAGCATAGTTATGGCCATGTCCTCTAGAGTACTATTTTTCCTTTTAATAATACCATTTTATTGCGGAGTTCTAGGGGCAGAGAAATTATGATTAATACCATTTCTAGTGCAGAATTCAAGAAATTTAGTATTTTCAAATTCAGTTCCATGGTCAGATTAAATGCTAACTATATGAATATTCATCTTTCTTTGCAGTGTCTTCACAAAAGTCACAAACATATCAAAAGTTCCATCTTTGGTTGCAGGAAATATAGTCCAAGTAAATCTAGAATAATCATCAACAATTACAAACACATACCTATTTCCTCCTGTACTTTGATCCCTCATAGGTCCACATAAGTCCATGTAAAATAGTTTCAGAGGTCAAGAGGTACTTACTACTTTTTTATATTTGAATATGGATTTGATCTGCTTAACCTTAACGCATGCATCACTAACATTATCTTCCTTGAATTTTGGCTTAGGCAACCCAAGGACTAGGTAATTAGAATTAGTTTGTTTAGCATAGAGAAGCTAACATGCACTACTCTTTTGTGCCACAGAAAGGAATCTATATCTAGTGTACTAAGACATGAGAGTTAATTTTCAGGTGAGAATATGATGTCAGCTTTGTAAATAATTTGTGCCTTTTTTCTTTGATAACCACGTTTCCAGAGTTTTTATTGGTCACCATACACATTTTAGAAGTAAAAACAACCTAGTTCCCTTTGTCACACATTTGAGACATACTCAATAAACTATGCTTCAATCCTTTGACATTACACATTATCTATAGCATGAGATTGGGACTTACAAACCTTACCTATGCCGATTATATTTCTTTTTTTTGCTATTTTTAAAGCCCAAACTCCATCCTTGATAGGCTCTTAGTGAGAGAAAATTATTTCTATTTATGGCCATGTGGCAGTAGCAAGCACTATCAACATACCAAATTTTTTGTTTCCTCTCATCTTTGCCTCAGGTTCTTCTTCCTCATCTGCATCAGAGTCTGAATTTGCCATCAATGCCAAGAGCTATTCTGATTCGGAATCACTATTCTCTTTAGAAATAAATGACTGGTCCTCATTTTCATGTCCATCATCATCATCATCAGACTCATTAGTTGAGGATGACCGCATGACAGCCATGGCTCTTTTCACAATTTTATCCATTGACTTTTTTGTCATTCTTCGTCCAGGAACCCAGTCTTTATTCTGTTGCTTTCCCTTACCAGAATTGTTCTCCTTCCACTCAAGTTCCCACATGGGGAAGTCATTGATGAAATAGTCTTTCTTTCCATAATTGTACCAACCATCAACACTGTTATTATTATTGTTCTTCTATATAGTTTTGGATTTTGATGAGCTACCTCTTTTACGAAACCACCTTTCATTATTGCTCTCTGGAAGCGTCGGGTTAACAATGCCATATCATCTTCTTCAGCGTCCTATTTGTGGGTGGACTTGAGCACCAGGTTCATGGTCTTACGAGGTTCGGAAGCTTGTCGATCCAGGCAATCTTGATTGAGTTTTAGCTCATAGGCCTCCAAGTTTCAAATATGATCGTCAAAAGTCATTGCATTCAAATTCCTAGCTTCAGTGGCTGCATTCACCTTGATGTCCCATGATTGGGGCAATATTCTTAGAATTATTCTCACAATCTTGTTACGAGAAATAACTTCTCTAAGAGATATTAGTTCATTGATAATAGTAGTGAGCTAAGTATGCATTTGCAAGAGAGTTTCCCGATCTTTCATCTTGAACAGTTCATATTGCCTAGTTAGCATGTCAATCTTTGATTGCTTCACTTGAAATGTACCTTCATGAACACATTGTAGGGCATCCCATATAGTTGTTGCATCTCTGTAGGCAGATATTCTATTGTATTCATCAAGACCAATTCCACAGATCAAGATCTTCTTAGCTTTGACATTCTTTTAAACTCCTTTAATATCTTTCTCAGAGTATTTTTCTCTTGGATTTGGTATGGTGGGGAAACCCCTGGCATCTAACAACATTGGTATCTTTAGTCCCTTCTCAACAATGTCCCAGAGTTCAAGGTCTTCTCCTTCCAAGAAATCACGCATCTTTTCCTTTCACCATCCATAGTATTTTCCATTAAATAGTGGTGGCCTTGTGGTTTATTGTCTTTCTTAATCATCTGGTGGTACAGTCACTATAGATTCTTTCAAGGTATTAGTCTCTTATGAAAGAAGCTACCCAATATCAACTGTTAATTTATACTGCACTTAGACGCAAGAAGAGGGGTTGAATTGTGTCTTTCCTGATTTTTGCATTTTCAAAGAACCTAGTTCTTTAGTTAATCAGACTCACTAAAAAATAATCGTGAAAAAATAATCAACACAAATATTTTTACGTGAAAAACCTCCTTAATCAAAGGAGTAAAAACCACGACCTACCCATTAGAATTTTCTTCAAATCTCCACTAACTTCAAAGAACAGTTTTAGGTTACAACTCAATAACAAAGGTGCCTAACTCTAGTACCCAACCCATACAATCAACCCAATTGTAGCAATCCATTTTCAGACTAACTCTAGCCCAAAAATCAAACAAAAAGAAAGTCTCAACCATAACCTATTAATATAATTCTATGAAAGCAGATATGTTATAGTTCAGAATAAAAGACTCAACCTAATAACTAAAGACCTCGTGCAGTTTCATCTTCAAGAACCTGTTCTTCAGTTGATTGAGTTGAATCGAAGTACCTTATTACTTTTCTTGCTATTGTCAGAAGTTTTCTCATGATTTCTCTCAATAGCAGTATTCTTGAATTGTGGCAAAATATTTTCTTTTATAGGTGCAAGATTGGCCTAAATTCTTCTTCAATTAATACTCCAAAACCTAAAATATTTCGGTTAAGGAAATCCTCTCCCGTTTGGGCTTGGTTTCCTTATTTTACTCCAACTTGAATC